ACTGCCCAGGGAAGGAGTCAAGTTCCCATCCCTAGATGGATTTAAAAGACGGGCAGACAAGGTGCTTAGGGACATGGTTTAGTGGTGGACAGGTACAGTTGGACTCAACGATCTTGAAGGTCTTTTCCAACCAAATGATTCTATGATTCTACAGCTTCTGAACAAAAGAGAAATGAAAACAGGAAGACTCCCTTCACCGTGTTGCAAGGCTAATGGCCAGCCTCTCTTCACAGAGCATGCCTGCCCCAGATCCCAGCAGCCAAGATTCAACCCTCCGAGACTCTTCAAGTTTTTTTCCCCCCCAGTGAATTGAATTTGAAGCAAAGACCATATTTCCCACCTACTCGGAAATCTCTTCCTTTAATTCATGGAGAAAGCCAACAATCAAGCATAAGATCAGGTTCATCATCGCCAAAGAAAACCACCTAGCTAACACAGAAGACTACTCAATGCTAAATTCCGACTTCTTTCAGAATGCCAAATGCATGCAACCATAGGACATGTACTCACAAAGGATCTCAGGACCCACACCAAGGCATTGGCATGATAGTTCACAGCTGCTGGTTTTCCAACTAAAGAAATCATAATCCCTCACTTAAAAGTATTTTTCTTCTTTGAGAGACAGAACAGCAGCATGCCAAAAGAACAAAGCTTCGTGCCACAGATAACACTGCTCAGTTATTCTAATCCTGAAGACAGTAGAAAAGTACTTAGCTATCAGATGCTATTTAGTCTCAGAAGGAAACATAGATCTAACAAGAAGTTGGGCACTCAGGAGTCAGCAAAGACCTTGCCACCAAACAAAAAGCAGGAGAGAGGAATCCTGCCTGACAGATGTGTTCTTCAGTTGAATATAGTTGCCACTCTCCTTTCATGTAAACATCCGGAGACATCCAAGTGAGGTTTAAAAGCCACATAAAAAAATTTCAGTCTTTCATATTGAAATGCAAAAGCAAGCCTGGACACAGCGTTCATAAAAATAGGCAACCTCCAGGTATGGGGAGTAGTTTAAGCGAGGAGCTCTGTCTCAACCTCAGCTCAACCATGTTCAGCAACTAAATCAGTTAGCTGAAACTTTAATAAGAAATTAACTAGAAATGATGAAAATCCACAGCCCAATTTTTCAGGATGTCACCCCACTCCCAGGACTTTTTACTTCCTTCATCTTTCACAATACTTGACACCGAGGTAAATTAACACAATGAATTTGTGGCAAGAACTGCAACGAACACATCAAAATTAAGACAGATTCCAGAGATGAACGCGAACAATTAGATTGAAGAGACAGCTCTGGATACCAGCCATAGCCTAAAAAAGGTCTAAGAACATAAGGAGACAGCAGCGTAGCCTGTGAGATGTGCATATCCTTCCTTCCACCTTAGGCAGCAGCAGGAACATCCCTGCAGAAAGCTCCTTCAGCTACTGACAGTGCATTCCGAGGAAGAGCTGGGCCAACCAGAGAGGATCCGACAGGGAGCAGCAAGAATGGTTAAGGGTCCAGAA